GGTCAGAAGTACTGTAATAAACCACACAAAATGCTGGGGTCAGGGGTATGTAGTATACAGAGTACAGGGGCCAGGAATACATTATACAAAAAGTGCAGGGGTCAGGAGAACATAATGCACAGAGCACAGGTATCACAAATACATAATGCATTGAATGCAGAGGTCAGGAGTGCATATCACACTGAGTGCAGGAGTATATAACACAAAGAGTGCAGGGTTCATGAGTTTGTAATGCACAGAGTGCAGAACTCAGTGATGTTACATACAGAGTGCGAAGGTCTGATGTACATAATTCACAGAATGCAGGGGTCAGGAGTATATAACACAGAGTGAGAAGGGTCAGGACTGTGTAATGTACTTTATAACACAGACAGTGTAGCAGTCTGTGGTCCATGGAGAATGTGAAAACAGTGGAGTACTCAATTTACTAATTTCACCCAATCTCAGGTTAGGCAGGTTCAAGCTGCATCAAAGTGCAGCTGACTAAGTCGCAGGATCCCTTTGAGTCGCTGCCCACACCTATACATTCTCTGCCCCACCACCGACACAGCATGCAATATATTGTAATTGCAAACTGAAGGGGGTGGGGGTGGGAACAAGAGTGGGCAGGAGGCATGACTAGTGGGCGCTGCTGTCACTGCTACAACCTTCTCGGCAGTTAAAAACCAATCAGCACCATCTACTGCTTGGTAGCAAGCTTTGATTGGTTGGAAACAAGCTACTAAAAAAAAAAAAAAATACTGGCCTATAATATGCACTTTAACCTTAAAAAGATAGCAGTTATACCAGTCTGACCAGTGAAATATCAGCCAAGTGGTAACCCTGCATGGGCCACCAGTTGGTCAGCCCTGCTTTACATATATATAGTTAGGAAGTTACCATTACTGGGTGTGTGATCATCCATCCCCCTGGTGAACATACAACACAGGCATTACAATAGCGTTCACAGTGATTTCTTACTGCACTGAGCATTTTAACGTTAGTAAATCAAGCCCCCTAATTCGCCAGGCCAGAAAAAGTAAACAAATCAGCAGTTTTGACATTTCTGGTTGCAAGCTTGTTCTGGGTTAGTGATTCAGAAAATATCCAAGCCAGAGTCAGCTAGGCAACTAGTAATTTTAGAAGCATGTTGGCAAAGGCAGCCTGCATATTTCTCAGGACAGGTTTCTTTTATTAAATAAAGCAGGCTTTGCATCAGAGTCCTAATGGAAATACCAAAGTTTCTAAACCATATTCCAAAGCTGACTATAAGCTGTCGAAGTAGTTCAAGGGTTCGCCAGTAATAAAGGGAAACCTACACATAAAGAAACACGTAAAGGGTGTTCACATTGCAAAGGAAGTTGCACTTTGGAAGGGAATTCTCTCCAGGGCTCAGTGCAAATTTCACTCGGTGAAATTTCACTTTGCAAGAACATCCAATGACATAAAGAAAGAAAAAAAAAAAGAGCATTCTTGCATGCATATGGTTGGATAATGGAAGTCAGAGGAGCTTCACTTCATTCACGAAGCTCTAGGGAAAATTCTCTTGCAAATTGAACTGTCTATTTGTGTTCAGTCTAAGTTCATTAAAAGTTTACAAAGAATATACAGAAAGATAACATTCAGTAAAGGCAGTAAAAAATAAAACACAGAGAATAAAGTGCAAGCTTAGGTCTGGGGGAGGGAGACAAGAAATAATAAAAAGGGGGACACAATAATAACCAAGATAAACATACATTAAAAAAAAAAAAAATAATAATAAAAAGAAAATAACCATCCTGGAACTAGGCGATGACGGTGTTCAGTATCCAGTACAGAATCCATGACCATATATATATAGCATGTACAATACATGTATATCTAGGCCCAAAGGGGGCACAAGCATCAGAGGCAGTGAGGGCAACAGATCATTATTAGCTAAGCTGTCATGACATAAAAGTCCACATTTGATATGTTTGAAAGAGCCAGGTAAGAGAGAAAGCAGAACAATCTGTGGTGTATTTGGGACTGTCAAATCTGTACCTGCGGTGTAAACACGCAGTATGAGATCCCAGTAGGCTTGGAAAGGAGGATATTCCTACCAAACATGGAGCAAGGAACCAGGGGCAGTGTGACAATGCCAACATAGGTCAGGCGTGGAGGGAAAAATCCTATGTAATAATGTGGGACATCTGTACCACTTAGTGAGCAATTTAAAATTGATTTCCTGTGCTTTGCTGGCTAGGGACCAATGATGAGTAAGAGCAAATTATTTTGTCCATTCTTCATCAGACAATTAAACATCAATATCAGCTGCACATCTGAATGTATATGATGGGAGACCGGGATGAACCTTAGAGAGAAAAATCTGGTAGATTGCGGAAAGGGGGCGCAGGTGAGGAAGATCTTGAAAGAACAGTAATTCTAAAGGTTTTGGATCTCTGGTTAGCAATTCTGTATTAGGGAAGGCATGTAGGAACGATCAGAGTTGTCTATATTCCATTCATTCGGCAAAAGAGGCTAGTCCCAGGACATGGGAAGGTTGAAAAGGTGGGAGACGACCCCGGAGTAGTATTTGCGCCAGTCGCCTGTGTGAGTGTTTTTATTCTACAGAAAGAAAGGAGAGTGAGATTGGGCTGGGGGAAATTGAGGGTTTCCAAATAGAGGGGTCATATGGCCAACAAGTGAGGAGATGTCAAATTTCAGGCTCAGGTTTTTCCATGTGAGCATGAATTGATTGGTCAGGAGTGGTAGAGAGGAAGAGGGCTCTAACACTCGGAAAACGTCCAGGGGACAGCCAGTATATATGGTGCCAAGGTCTATTCCATTCACACCCATTACTTGGTAGATGAGTGGTGGAACCAGTTCGTAAAAGCAGTCTGCAAAGTCCTGAAGCAGGGCCGAGGAATGGCTATTGGCAGGGTCTAGAATAGGTAAAGGAAAGGAGGCGTGATGTTCATTTTGTGTATGTTGATCAGGCCAAACCATGAGTATAAGGAGTCATAGTTCTGGAGGTCCTTCAAGGTGCATTGAAGTGTTGTCAGGAAGGTACTTGCCATAGTGTAGCTGAAACCTCTGGACATACATGGCTGCGCAGGCGAAGATGTGTGTGTGCCCGTTCTGCTGTGCATAATCGTGTGCGTTTGTGTGCACCTGTGACTGCCCGCCACTAATGTTGGTGCCAATTTAAACTCAGCAGTTCTGTTACCCTGTGCTGTCTGATCTGCAGCTCCCCCCTGTATTCCTGTGCCTGTTCCTGTTCCTGTATGTGATACCTGTGATTGACCTTGGACTCTGCCACTGCCTTCTGTATCTGTTTGATCTGCCTCCACCATTGCTGGCCTTAGCCTGTGACCTGACTACTTTTTTGCCTGCCGTTTATGCCTGATCTGCTCATCTGTTACCAACCTGGCTTGTCTGATCCTGCATCCAGCTTTGCCAGCCTACTTTGCTACCAGCCTGTCCTGCCGTGACATCTGCCTGCAGCCAGCCTGCTCTGTGCTACTTGTCTGGTCTGCTGTGATGTCTGCCTGCTGCCAGTCAGTCCTGCTGTGCCATCCACTGCCAGTCTACTCTGCTGTGATGTCTGCCTGCTACTAGCCTGCTCTGCCACCAGCCTGTCCAGCTGTGACATCTGCCTACTGTCAGCCCGCCTGTTTCCAGCCTACTCTACTGTGCATCCTGCTGCTAGCCCATTTGCTACGATGTCTGTCTGCAGCCAGCTGTTCCATCTGCCAGCGAAGTGCCAGCTATTCCTACACCGACTACAGCACTGACCAGGCACTCATACCCCGCCATGCTCGTGTGGTTGCTGTTCCACCTTCAGTGGCTCTCGAACTGGAGCTGTACGAGAGGCCTTCCTCTGACAGGTGTATAATTTTCAGAGAATAATTGAGAAAGATTAGAAGGGATTCTGATACCCAAGTACTTGAGAGTTCCAGAACAAAGTCTGAAAGGGAAACTATAGCTGATTTCTCGCACCTTATGTCAGGGCACGAAAAGAGCTCATTTCACCTCTTTCGAGCCAATAGAGAAGCCTGTAATATTGGGGTTGCTACAGAGTGCTACAGCTAAGTGTTCCATAACTAGGAGATACAAAAGAGGGGATAATAGACAACCCTACGGGTGCCACTGGTTATAGGGAAACTCGAGATTAGGTGACATTTATGCAAATTCTAGCAGTAGGCGAGGTATAGAGGATGAGAATCTTCTGCTGCAAGCTAGGGCCCAATCCTATGTTAGATAGCATTTGGGCTAAAAACGGCCACCCTACCCTATCAAATGCCTTTTCAGCGTCAATGGATAGAAGGCAAACAAGAAGTCCTGCAGATTGAGCATGGTTCATGACCAAGAGGGTTTTCATGGTGTTATCACGGTCCCTCCCTTCCCTGCACAAACCCTACCTGGTTCGTATGTATCAAATCTGGGAGGAAAGGCTACAGGCAGGTGGCAATCATTTTAGCATAGATTTTAACATCCACGCCAATCAAAGAAATGGGTCGATAGCTGGGGCAGAAATTCAAGTCTTATCTGGCTTAGGAAGAAAAGAAATGTGAGCTTCCAAGGTTTGTGTCAGAAAAGGTGTCTCAGCAGAGATGGAATTGAACATGCGTAACTTGAAAGGGGAAAGAACATCTTTGAAAGTTTTATAGGATATCCTATAGATAATCTTATGGGTGAACCCATCAGTGCCTGGACTTTTGCCTGAGGGGTTGACGAGATAGCTACCAACAATTCTTCAATAGAAAAGGGGCTCTCGAGAGATCTTCATGGCATCTTCATCTATAGTGGGCAGAGCAGTTTCTTGAACACAATCCCAAAGGCAATCATGAAATGTTGAAGGGCCACCATCTCGCCCCTGAAACTGTCTATTTGTCTTTAGCAAATCAACCCCAATGAAACAAAATACAGTGGAATAAAATATTGACACAGCCAGATGAGGAGAGCAATTTTTACTTAACAGGGAGGTCAAAATTAGTCATCTACTTTTTGTTCATTAAAACATTAAGTTTATGGAAGTAATAATTCTATTTCAATTTTACCTTCACACTGGTCTCCAGAAGGTAATAGCTTGTAGCCTTCATTGCATATACAAGTGAATGATCCCCTGGTATTCCTGCACTGTCCATTGTCACAAAGGCTTTGAACTTGGCATTCATCAATGTCTGTTGAAATTAAGAGACGGAAAATGAAAAATAAATGAGAGATGATATACATGAAATTTTATTTCTTATTATATTCCTACCATGTTACAATGTAGTATACAAGAGAATAGAGGGAAAAAAACACTAAAATACTGAAGTAATATAATCAGAGAAAATTAAACACAGATAAAATATTAATGGTTAGCCATAGTAACTTCCTGGTGCTTAATAGGCCTTATACTGTTAAATGATCACCATGAATATATTATAGTCACATTATCAAATCCTCAATTTCAGGAATTCTGTGTAAAGTTAAACCAACCATTTTAAAGTAAACCTTTGGCAAGACCACTGAAACACCAACGACTATAATAATATTGCTTTTAGTAATCCAGTCAAAATCCTTTCAACTTAGAACTCTGCACAGGGCTGTAAGATTTTAGATTCATTTGGGAGAGCCAGGGACAGATAGTAGATGTCAATCACCACTCACTCGCTATACTTTTGGTGTGCACTTTTCAAATGAGTTCCTCCTAAGCAGCGTTCCTTTCCAAGAGGTAATGTGTCCTCCCTGTATCACTCAGGAGTTCTCTTGCAGGTTTAGAAACAATGCCAAGGAAAGAAAATTACAAAAAGAGAAGACCTGCACCCTCTTGTGAGGCACATTCCACAGCAGTCAGTGACATCAATCAAGATTATAAACAAGCTGAAATTAAAATACTGCATTGTTACAGATATGATATGGCAGAGAGCACGGTTCTTAGATCAGGCAGAAAAAGCAACTTCAATGCTCTGGCAACTTAAATTCCATGTTAAACTGCTGTTCTAAATCTGGTCTCTACAGATAATCCTAGGGGGAAACACATCAGAGAGAGGATCTCATGTGGTCTGTTGTTTGGATCAATAAAGTTAAAGTGGTTGTAAACCTCAGACATGAAATCTGAACAAAGCACATTTTTCTATAGTGTGTACTTACCTTCCTCCAAGCCTCTAAGTTTAATTTCTCTCTGCTGCTTTGTTCCTCTGCCATAAGCATGAGTCACTTCTGAAAAGTTTTCCTGACACCAAGAGCTAAAAAGGTGATGGGGGGGACCTCCAGTTGATTGACAGCCTCAGCCAGCTTTGTTCTTGTGTGATGTGCAAAGGAGGGGGGGGGGGGGGTTCACCTCCCTCCAATCAGCTCTATTTTACAGCGTGTAACTGCAGCTCTCTGGCCCCTGCTTTTGTGAGTCTGTGAAATATCCTTTTCATTTCTCAGTTTTACAAGGATGTACAAATGGCGCCAAATAAACAGGTACAACTTATGTAGGAGAATTAGTTTCACCTCTGTGTATCACCTGAGGCCAGTCACTTCACTGGGTATAGGTAAGGGTTCACAACCACTTTAAGCAGAATCAAATTTGGTGTGCAGCTACCATCATTATATACTTGAACAATATGTGGGCTTAGAAAGCCAGCATCAGAGAATGAGTGGATGGAGCATATGGGGAGTAGACGGAGCAGCCTGCAGAAGAAGAGTCCTACTACTTGTCCCATTTCCTATGCCTCTGATTATGACTAGGAATGGTAGTGATATAGAGGTCACTAGGTGGAACCACAGTTCAAAGACAGGAACTCATCCAATACACCCAAGAGTGTCCAACTGTGCAGCTCGGCAATAGAGTAAAAGTCTGAGTCATGGATTGCTGGACAGGTACGTGTTTTGTCTCTTTATTTGCAGTTGCTTTATGCACATATAATTAGTTTGAGGTCCATAGCCTGACCACAGTTCACTTTCATGCATTTTCCTGTTCCTGTTTTTGCTTCATCAGCCTAAATCCATCACTTAGAAATAGGTTTCCTTTAACTAAAATATATAATTCTTTTTATTTTAGTTTAGATTTATTAGATGTTAAAGGTTATTTACAACAGTATATCCAGTTACTTTTAGTTATGTCTGTTGAAAAAATCCCAAGGGCTATACAATAGTCATTAAAACGTCAAATACAAGTTTAAAGGTTTGATGGAGTTTAAAGTTTAAATAAGTCTGATGTGTGCAATGTATTAAAATACAATTTAAAATTATGCTGTGTAAGCCTGCTATGACGAAAAAAAAAAGTTATGACTGACGTGTTTGTTGACTTTCAGAAAGAGTATGGAACCTTCTATGGACTATGTTCCACTATGAAGCAATTCCTGTTGTGTATAACAATTGTTTAAACAATCACAAACTTCATGAAGCATTAAAAAAGGGTTTTATGTACAGTATGTCTAGTCATGTAATAAAATCACTTGTGTATTAGACAGACATAAAGTATTACTTGTTAATGGTAAAAAATGAGTGCTAAGCTCATAACTTTCAAAGAATGCTAGTCAGAATATAAAATGCTAGTAATACAAACACTTAATTTCCCTCCTGTTTTAAAAACAAACTGAACTCTAGAAGCAGTGCTAAAAAGACAGGCAGAGGGTAAATGAGTAACCAGCATTGCCGGTTGTCTCTCTTCAGCTGACCTTTCCCCATTACTGGCCATGCCTTGTTCTGTCTTGTGTGTCTCTGTTTGGACGTGGCTATCTTGGTAGTGGCAGGGCTTTTCATTCTCATATCAGGGCCTCTAGCACATCTCAAATTTCACTTCAAATCTTCTCAGACTACCATTCAGAGGCAACAGTGCACAATGCAGGTATGAGACTGTAGGCATCCTTGCATATCCGAAAGTGCACTAATATTTTTCAAGAGGAATTCCAATCCTTCTTTTCTGGGGTCTCTCACCAGAGATCTGGGATCCACCCCCCTTGCCATGTGCCTCCAGAGTAAGCCACTTGCTTTGGGGGCACTCATGGGGGTGCTCATTCCAGAGAACCGCTCTTCATAATTGGCTCTGATTGACAGCAGCTGCTGTATCTAAGCCAATGAGGATCACGAGAGTAGAGAGAACCTCGATTCTTGTGCACAGCACAGTACCGAGATTGGGCTCAGATATGTATTAAGGGGGGCTGCTAGGGAAGCTGCACAAAGAAGGTTTTTTTTTTATCTTGCTGCGTACAATGCAGTAAGGTAAAAAAAAACTTCTGCCTTCACAACCACTTTAAAAGAGAAGTTTGGGAATTTCTTTTTTTTTTTTCTTTTAAATTATACTTACCTAGGTGGATGCAGCATCAATCCGATGCTGCATCTGTTGAGAACTGAATGATCACACACCGCTGAATGCTCAGTTCTCCCTGATGCTCTGATCAGAGAGCAGTGACTGCCAGTCACCACCGTCTGCTCTGCCTGTACTTCTGGCTGTACTTCTCCTTTAAGGTACTGCTTAAGCACAAATATAATTTCTGAATTTTCCCAATAGAATAGCAAAACTTCACTTTTTGAGTTCAGTACCAAATAAATATAAATATATACCTTTTACAATACGATAACTGCAGTAGGGAGAAACCTCCATAATTGCATAGCTAGTCAGATTGAAAAAAAGTACATGTCCATCAAGTTCATCCAAAAAACTAATAAAAAAAATAAATCATCAACACTAAACCTGAATTTGATCCAGAGAATGTGAAAAGAAAAGGAATGGTCCAAACTGACCTAACAGGGAAAGGAATTCCCAAAATCAACATTCTGCAAGGTTATTTCTTGTACACATAAATAGCCCTTTTTAAATGACATAATATTAATCAGGAATAAAATATTTTAAAAAGTCAGAAGCTCTACTATAGAAGCTTTATTAGGCAGTTCCCCAACATGCTAGTAGTTTTATAATATTATGACCTATACTTTAGGGTTTGAAAAGCAATTTGTTAATTTTTTTTAAAACGGGGGAGGGGGTGGCAAACAATGAAATATGTAGTAAATACAAGGATCATGTACAAATATAATAATTGAAAAAAAAAGACTAGCAGCTGCATCATGTGAATTATATTGTAGCTATTAAAGCAAACTAACATTGGGTTGTATTATACATACCATCACACTTGTCACTGGCTGGGCTTAGCTGATATCCTGAGTTGCAGGAGCATACGAAGGAGCCTTCAATGTTATGACATTTACCATTCAAGCATAAATTACCAAGCCGACATTCATCTATGTCTGTAACAAACAAAATTTGCCAATGTACAGCACTTCTAAAGAATTCAAAGTGTTCCACACAAGAACATGGATTTGCCTTTGTTGGAAACAAATTTAGGCTCAACTATTTACTTTAATCAGATAAAGAACTGTATTGTACCGCTGCATATTTTATGGTTCATAAATCATTTTCTCTTTTGTCTGTTGAAAGCACAGAGTATATCAACTGACAACTGTCCCAAAAGTGCCCATAAGTATATCTACCGTATATTGTACTTGTTTTAAAACATCTATTTCCAAACTATTGCATCTTTGGGACACCACCACTGGACTGATATTGTGCAGCTCATATCTTTTTCTTCAATGTAATGACTGCCAATGACACAATATTAATTTTGCAGCTTTATAAAAGTGAAAAGAAACCTTGTTGTAATCATTTCTAACAAACAAGGTAGTATGTTCTAAGCATGGGTTTTGCTAAATCTAATTTAAATATTTGCCTAGTCCTTGTTTAACATGTTTGATTAGTTGCCTTTATTTCCTGCATGGATCTCTGTGCCTAGCAATGACGAAATATACTGACAGCACTGGATGCAGCAAACTACAGCTTAATGGTGCGTGTGTACTTTAGGTGTGGGGAACTGGAAGCTACATAAGACCTGTGGGGATTCCCCTCTCTCAGGTAGACATTGATATCAATGATCCATTACTATGACCCTTCAAATGTAAGGGGAACTCATAACTGAACATAACTGATGGTCAATATTGACCACTTCCCAATAGCCATGAACAATAGGGAACACAAAATCATTACCCACCAGTGAAAAGAGGCACTTACTTCTGAACAGCAATGAAGGAGGGCACTTACCAGTGACCACCAACATAAGAGGTACTTACTACAAAGAAGGACAATTTTCACATGCCATCAATTCAAGGGGGATCTTACTACCTAAGAAAGGGGACACTGAACACTAATCAAAGGAGGCACTTGCCAATGATCCCAATGTAAGAGGAAACCTCAACACTAGCATCCATTGTAGGGAGGCACTACACTGACTACCAACATAAGCAGGCACTTCACCATTGATCAACGGTGTTAGGAAGCACTTTACCTCTGATCTCCAACATAAGGGGGTAATTCTCAGCTGACAATTAATGAGCATTATTGGGGATACCCCTGACGTACTCTTTATGGATGCACTCTGTAAGGTTCATTGTACATTGCATACTCCTAACTGCATTACTCGGTAAACCATGTTGTACAATACATAGTTCCGACTGCAGGCTGTGCTTTACAATAAATAGTCCTGGCCACTGCATCCATTAAGATGTGCTGTGCATAGACTATACCAATGTCACACTACAGTGCATACTACTACACATTACATTGTCATTGTATTCACCAGTGGTGTCATACTACCATTTTTACTTATTTCTTAGTTTTAGTCTGGACTACAACTTCTTCCACAGGTGTGCAGAACTGCTCTAGGAAATCAGTAAATCTAATTCTAAAATTAAATAAGCATAATCATGACTCAACATCAGACTAGTCTGAGACTCCTAACTAGAATCAGATGGGAATATTTTCAAGCACTCTAGGATACAAGAGTTCCTGTTTCTATCCAAGACTAATTCTGAATCCAACAGAAGAAACAAGACAAATGTAAAACTGTACTGGAACATTTAATTACCAATGCACTGTTTGCTGTCAGAGGTTGATTCATATCCTGTTCGGCATGTGCACATGTATGAACCCTCCAGATTGGAGCAGTCACCATTGGCACACAGGGATGTGTCTTCTTGGCATTCATTGATGTCTAAAAATTAGAGCAAATGCAAATCATTGTACATAAAATAAAAAGGTAAAAATGTAGCAAATACAATAAATAGTTCAGCACACTATCCATTTTACTCATTCTACCTGTATATAGAATCTGTTTTTAATTTACATATTTTCTGTGCCATTGATCATAGAAAAATTAATAATGATGTCTAAGTTTATTCACTTAACTGATGCATAAAAAAAAATTTCAACCTAGTGAGTTCAAGTAAAGAACACAGTACATGAAACCTTTAGCCCCCATTAAGACTATGCTGCACAACATCAGGAGTCACGCATACGTGCTTTTTCTATGTATTGTCTCACTTCATGCATAAAACCTCATACACACGGTACTTTTTTTTTTCAGGCCAGTGGGCTGAACAAAAAAAAGCCGACAGATCGCTGTACTAACACAAGCAGTATTAGCGCAGCGATCTATCCCACTGTGCTATTGTGTTCTCACAGGGGGACTGCCCCCCACCCACCAGAATACATTGGTCAGCCATTGGAAGTGAATCAGCAGACTTTTTTTGGTCATGCTCCTTCGAGCATGACCAAAAAAAGCTGCCATACACACAGCTGCCATACACACAGGCCGAATGTCAGCCGGTTTCTGTTGAACCAGCCAATACTGCCCAATATTTGACCCGTGTGTACTAAGCTTAACCTCTTCACACCAGCCGAACGCAAATGTGCGGCCTCCCGGAATCTGGGCCTAGACGTCGAGCGTCCGCACATTTGCGTTCTATTACAAAAGGACATATGTGCAGAGAGCGTGCGCCCTGCGCACTCCCAGCATACATATCTGGTACTCACAGAAAGGTCCCGATCTCCTCTTTCGATCGGGACCTTTCCTGATCATGTGACGTCACGGCGGTCACATGACACTAAACCCCACCCCGCCTCCCGGCTTCTGAAACCCTTAAAGGGCTGGGAGGCGCTGGTGTGAAGGGGTTAAGGCAGCCCATTCATTTCAATGGGCTGCCCTATGTTAGATAAACACAACAAAGAAGCTCATGCACCTTTATGAGCTTGAAGCTTCTTGTGGTTTTACACCACATGCCTTGCTAAGTTTCCCAAACTCTTTGTGCATACAAATGCGCATCTTGCTTGCCAGGTTTGGGGTGCCATTAACAATAATTGGCATCATAATTGCAAAATGCATTTTTGTGCCTTTTGCACTTCTGTGCTGTAAATGCACCTAGAGAGCTACACTGAGCAAGTCTGTCCTTATAGTGCACTTATAATTCCTTTGCAAGATATTAACTGTTAATTTCACTTTACTAAATTGCCCTTCACATGCCCCTTATGCTATTTCTAAGCCAATAATCACGAGAGTACTTTTTTAGTCAAAATGCTGCGACACTTTCTTTTTATTTTATTAGATAAAAGATCTATACAAATTCTGAACTCAGACTATTTTTAGAATTATTGACTTCATGCTATGATATTGCTATTAAATTTTCTCTAATTAAGGATCCTAAAGTGTATTTGTGCCCAAATTATAGACATTAAAGTATTTAAATATTCTTTAAATCTTTAATAACACTCTGTCAACAGGGAAGTACAGGGGTTGCCATGCTGGCCTACTTTTGGAAATTTTGGCAGGATCTGACTTTTGAATCACAGGCCCAGAACAAGTATGCTTTAAATAAGTGACAGAATAGCATCAGAATTTCTTATATCTATGCTTGCTCTGGATCTGAAACTCAGACAGAAATGAAGCCAAAGAATTAGCATGGAAGCCAAGGAACTAGAATTTGTTCTAGTTTCTCTATGATCATTTGATCATAGTGTTCCTTTAAAAGAAGCCATCTTTCTAGCTGCATGTAATGAGATGTATTTCATTTTGAAATATCCTCAAAGATTACAACAAAAACTCTGAAGTCAGGTTTTGCTTAGCTTTTAACAGCTTAGAAATATCCAATGTGTTTTTTTATATTAGAGGAGTGACAATTTGCCATTATTCTGGTGCAATAGAAGGAAATAAGAAACAAACAAAGAATTCAGTTCCTCTGTTGTCTTTGAAGATACATTTCTCCATGATGCCTGTAACTACAGAGGTTATTAAGGGTTTTCTTTAAAGTGCTTTTATTACTTGTTCAGAGTATTTAAATACTTTATTGTGCATAGTCTGGCAACAGATTTACATGAAGTGTTAGAAATTACTCTGTGAACAGAGGGATTAGAGAACCTAATAGCACTGAAAAGATGCAGAATTTAGGTAACAGATGTAGGACAGGAAAATGTGGTACTGCTGTGAGGAAAGAGAAATAATGGAAATGTAGGATGCTTTGGGCACCAAAGTAGAGAATGCTAAATCAAGATCCACCCTCTAGTTGCAAGAGCCAAAAAATTACTACATTTTCCCCATAAATTTAGAAGACTAATACATACTACTATTTAGTCCTACATATAACATTGACATTTGCTTTCTTTATGTTCAACTTTTCTATATCACTGACAGACTTCAAAACCATATAATGTAACGTTTATTTTGTAAATGTTTACAGTAAAAAAATCTTTTCTAAACAAAACGATCAACAGTGTTTTCAAGACACAGCAAATTGGTAGCTAACAGAGCCCATTGTGTGGTCTATATCTCTCTTTTGGCAAAACAATGAAGTAAAGACACATACTAATAGTTTTGATCATTCTATTTGCATGACCGTATCATAAAAGCAAACTTACCAAAGCATCTGCCATTAAATCCCCTATATCCTTCAGGACAAGGTATACATGCATATGATCCTGGGCTATTGACACATCTGTCATATTGACAAGTAGTGGGAGTAAGACATTCATCAATATCTGTAAAAAAAAAAATAGCAAGCTGGATGATTATAATGTTTCAAAGAACTAAATAAATGTTACCAGGCACAAATTGAAAAAGCTAATAAAGCTTAAATACCTGCTCCAACTGAAAATGTATAGTAAACATTAAAAAACATGACAACATGCAACATAATTTTGTAAATGTCATCTGTTTAAAATGTAACTAAACAGCATAATACATTTATCTTTAAATTATCATAAAGGAGTGTAACAAATTAGTGTTTTTGTTTCATTGAAATATGGGCATGATTTTGCAGAACTGGTCTTGTTCTGGAATTATCTAGATTGATTTTAAACTCCAATTAGAGAGTTTAAATACTGATAGATAAGCTTCATTGCACAATTGAATAGCAGCTTAAATTGTCCCTAAACCCATTAAAAAATAATCATATTTAGTACCTTTATTGGAAGCCATTTGTGTCCCTTATAATGGCAGCCTAGGACAGTATGTTAATAAAAATAACTTTAAATCCTTCACAATCACGGCTTCCTTTTCATCACTTTACATGGTCCCCACTGTGTATAGAAAAGTAGCCCTCTTCTACTCATTCCCTAAATGTACTCCAGTAATATGTGCTGGTGCTGGTTAACAGGGAGACCATCACTTGCTGCCAACTATCCACAAGCTTCAGAGTGACAGAGGGAACATGAATGCAACCATGAGGATGCATGTGCAATAGCTGAGCTTCTGGAATGTCCCTGTGCCTTTTAGGGGGAATGGGCTCCTTCCAGGCATACCTTCCTTTACTTTATTATTTATTTATTGTTGTGTGCACCGTGCCCTAAAAATTAGTTATAAATTGGGGTGGATTTCATTTTTGTATAGCTATGGATTAGTCCAGACTCATTAAATTATAATATTCAAAATTAGTTAGGTGATTTACAAATTTACTGAACTGTATCACAGAAACTGTTTAGCAAAAATGTAGATAGCACTTCATTTAAATAAAAGATGACTCTTGTAATCCCCCACAGCAGTGTTATATTTTTTTCCAACCCATAAATCCGTTATTTTTTTGGGGGGGGGGCGCTCAGAAAAACAAAAACGTCTGTGTTAATGTTATTGGCAGACCACAAAATCTATGTCATTTTTTATTTTGCCCATAGTTCCACATTAATTGTGAGTACCCAAAAGTATAATTTTTTGTATGGTAGTCCACAGACTTGTAAAACAAGGGCCCACACTAGGAGCCAACCATGCTCTTCAGCAGTGCACATGTGCTTTTAGTTAACATGCTGACAGTAAATGAAGATATAACCTCGTCCTTTTTCTGGCTATGCTGTCTGGCAGAGATACGTTCAAAGCATGGGAAAATGAAGATATAGCATATTTTGTTTCACAGTTGTGTATTTTGTAGAAATGTAATGCAAGCAGTTATTTCAGCAGATTGGCTATTCATTCTGAAAGGGCACCTACATTAAAACATAATATACAAAATGTCCCATTAAATGAAGGCGGACAATCCTTTATTAAAATTATTTTTTTATGCTATATTCCATACAACAGTAATGTTTCTTAATTGAAAAGCTTTCAGCTTCACATATGCTATAAATATTAACTACTACTAATATTAAATATGAAACTGCTGATAAATCATTCATTAAGTGAAACATAATACATATAAGATTGTGCTAAAGAGCTCTAAGTAGGTGTGATCTATGTGGCATGGTGACCACATAGCATGCACATAGTAGACAAGCACTGAAACGTCAAATGAAAAGAGCAGTCACTGTGACATTTGCCAACTAGCAGATCAAGGGAATGTTGCAAGGATAATCAGTTTCCAACAAGTTAGTTCAAGATTACAATCATCACAAAATTCAGAGGGCCTACATTTCAAAGGGTAACTTTCAATTTATCTCCAGTGCCTGTCATATGCTTATTTAGCATAGATCAATGAATAGCTAAAATGTATTTAGTTCTCGTTTTTCATATATTTCAAGGTAGGCATAAAAAAAGAACACAAAAGTGAAAAAAACAATTATAACATTTTTCTTTAAGAAGCAGCCAGTGTATATACAGTAATCTGACAAGCACCTTGATAGGTCAAGTATGAAAGAAACATGCACTAAACAACGCTGCTGTTCCAAATAATGTATACATGGAGTCCTTTTATTATGCCAAGCAAGAAAGACTTATCATTAAAACAAGCATTTGTAAACTGCAGCAGATGTAATCATGTACGGCAACATTAATTATATCAGTATGCACCACATGCTGGCATTGTTCCTTCAGTGCCGATTCACATATGTGTGGTGCGGCTTGACAGCTCCGGTTTCACTGCAAATTGAAAAGCAGTTGTTCAGTGGTTCAGGTCAGGATTTGAAGAGGGAAAACCAGCCTGAAATCATGTACACAAACTCATGACATGTGCAATTCAGAAGCGGTTCCCATAGAAGTTGATGAGCTTGTAATCCGCACCTAAACCAGACCACACTACTCAGAAATCGGACATGACTCTTTCAATCCACACTGAATCCGCACTGACAGTGCACTGGACATTTGTGAACAGGCACCATAGGAAGCAATGTTATTTCACATGTCATGCAGATTGGATGCGGTTCAAACCGCATCCAATCCGCATATACAGTATGTGAAGCAGCACTCTTGAAATGCAAGTGCAAAATAGATAGCAAATGTAAGACAGCCCCCATGACATTAAAGAAACCCCTAATTATCATTCCCTATTTACCCTGTGTTCATTTGGAAGCTGGAGTATTTTCTTATGAATGAATTAGCACTGTTTAGTGAATAAGCGATATGTACACTATCTCAATTGAGCCTATCTCCATAAGCACCATGTGCAAACAGTAAATACTGTGAAGGTACACGTTGGTTGTATAAAGAGTTTTGTGCGCACATCAATATGCAATAGCCTATGTGCATTTTCTTTAGTAAATCAGGCTCATACCGTGTCAGTATGGGAGAACAAGACTCAAGCCAAGCATTAGACCTCCAGGGATTTGTTTATTATTTATTCATATAATTCAAGGATTTCAAATCAATGAATAGATGTTCCACTTGACAAGGTCAAAGTAGCAATGTATATGCAGAGTGAAACAAATATATCAAGCAGAAACTAATGACTAATTTCATGGTATTCGACTTACCTTCACATTGACCTCTTCTGTTCATGCGGAAGCCACTGTCACAGTATTCACATCGGAAAGAGCCAACAGTGTTAATACAGAGGCCATCAGGACATGCATCTGGTCTCAAACATTCATTCACATCTAAAGCCAAAGAAAATCATACATCTTTAAAAAATTGTATTACATGACCTTTCACTTCAATTTCCAACTGACATGATTTTCAAAGATTACTGAAAAAATTCAAATGTTGCTTTATTTCGAAATGGCAACCAGCGATGTTCTCTACACTGTATCAGACTGTCATCCACACTTTTCTTCTACTGTAGATTTTGCGATTAGCAAATTGATTTCACCAACAACTAAAGGCTCCTGTATGACAGTTTAAACTAGTATCCAATCTGTTTGCTAAGTGATCCACGGGCCTCATAAAGTAAAAAAACAAAAACAAAAAAACTTTCTTTACCTTCCCTGACTGAGCCAGTTTCTCTCTAATTTGTAGCTCATGTTTCCCCACCCAGACACTGCAGCTCACAGTGGAAGAGTTTCAGAAGCACAGTTACTGCCAATTTAAAAAGCAGTGGGCAGAACTAGGTGTGGCCAGGTCCTGGCTGAAAAGCTACAGGCTTAAGAATCAACAGTGACAATGCTGATAGCCACATCCACAGCAACATCTGCTTCCACTATAATGCAAGCAGGCACAGCCTACATGTGAGTGGTGACTCTGCATTGAATTTAGGAGCAGTGCAGCATCGTTGCCACACCATCACAGGAAGTTGCATTAGGTGGAATTCACTTGCAGGTTCAATGGTTATTTGTGAAACCTTGCAGGGGCACTAAGAGAAAACAGTAGGCAAAGAGTCACGTATAATTAAGTGCTGCAACACAATATTTATTTTTAACAGTAAGCCATAGTTATACTCCAATGTCAAACACAAGGCAGAATCCAGCCCACAAGGCCATTTCATATGGCCATCACACCTCATCTGCAGCTGCGACAACCTCCTTGTCTTTGCCCCCACATTGTCTCAGTATTCAGCAACAGAGAAGAGGACAGAACTCCTACACCAGATCCTCCGCAGCACCCTTTCATCTCTGCCTCCCCTGGTCTCAGCATTCAGGAGACTCCGGCAGCTGATTCCAGCCCTTCTCTGGTCCTTCTCCAGACCATGCACTTTCTGCATCCCAGCTTCGCCCCAAGTTTTCATCCGGCAGCAGCACAAAGTACGGGAGGGTGAGGGACTCTTGACTTCTCATGGTGGGTAGGCTCTTGACATCTAATATAAGGGGGAATGAGGTGCTTTGGACATCTAGTCTTACAGATACAACTGGCCCTTTGAGGGCAATCATAATGTTGATGTGGCTGGCAATGAAATTGAGTTTGGCACCCCTGCTCTAATGTATTATTTGGTGAGTGGTGAGTTTAGCAATCAGTCTGAGAAAGAACACAGACATAAATAAATAAAATATATATATATATTTTTTTTTTTTCTAAAATGTGATCCTACTTGTTTTGTGATGCAGTTATAAAAGATACAGAAGATCATGACCTTCTTTGTCTTTTTGTAACAGTATAAACATTTATTTTTCTTTCTGGAAGTCATAGTTTATGCTACTAGTACAAAATAAAATCATTCTTTTGTCAACCATTGGTTATCCCTATGGCATTATGTTACATACCAGTGCAGTCAGTTCCCTGTTCATTGGCCATGTATCCTGCTTGACAAATACATAGAAAACTTCCATCTGTATTTTCACAGCGCCCCTGTGAGCAAAGCACGCGACCCTGAGAACACTCATCAACATCTAAAAAAAAAGATCTTTATCAAATAAGAGAAATACATAAAACAAATTTTATATGCACATTTTAGCAGTTTCTCCTTTATTTTGGCTGGATGCTCCCTGGCACATAATGTGAAATAAAATAAAGTGAACCTGTCAAGACGAGAAGGATAGAGAGGTTACCATTGCTCAGTATTTGAGACTGACCCAGAAAAAGTACGCATATCAGGGATGTTACTGATAAATCAGAAGTCTCCATACTTGTTCCAGGCCATTGATTCAAAGTATTGAGGCAACATAATAGTCAGAAAATTTACATTTTCAGAATGAGAGTATAGCAATCGCAGCCTCCCAGCTCATCTAATGACAGATTTCCTTTAATGCTAAAGGAAAGGTGTACCTTTTAGTGGTATTCCAATGGAAATGCCATGATGTCAAAAACTATTAAGCCTATGAGATTTCTAATCAACACATTTCCAGAAAGCAGAATCTACTACAATAATGGTTACTAGATAGAAATAGTATGTATTCAGTAATGCTACAGAAGATTGTCAAAACCATAGACATAGTATATGAGATGGCCAGAAAAAGACAGTCTAAGACTGAGGACATATTGACAGAAATTTTGGAGATCTGGAGATCATTGCCATTGCATCTTCTTTACATATGCTTCCTCATTTGTGCTCCTTACAGGCCCTTAGAAATTATTATAACCACATATTCAGCTTGAGAACTGCTTCCCTCCCTATATACAGTATAACACAGAAGTGAGTACACCCCTCATATTTTTGTAAATATTTTATTATATCTTTTCATGTGACAACACTGAGGCTACAGTGTAAAGTAGTGAGTGTACAGCTTGTATAACTGTGTAAATTTGCTGTTCTCTCAAAATAACTCAACACACAGCCATTAATGTCTAGACCACTGGCAACAAAAGTGTGTACGCCCCTAAGTGAAAATGTCCTAATTGAGCCCAAAGTGTCAATATTTTGTGTGACCACCATTATTTTCCAGCACAGCCTTAATCCTCTTGGGCATGGAGTTCACCAGAGCTTCACAGGTTGCCACTGGAGTCCTCTTCCACTCCTCCATGACGAAATCACGGAGCTGGTGGATGTTAGAGAATTTGCGCTCCTCCACCTTCCGTTTGAAGATGCCCCACAGATGCTCAATAGGGTTTAGGTCTGGAGACATGTTTGGCCAGACCATCACCTTTACCCTCAGCTTTTTTAGCAAGGCAGTGGTCATCTTGGAGGTATGTTTGGGTCATTATCATGTCGGAATACTGCCCTGCGGCCCAGTCTCCGAAGGGAGGGGATCATGCTCTGCTTCAGTATGTCACAATACATGTTGGCATTCATGGTTCCCTCAGTGAACTGTAGCATTTCACCTTCACGGATGTACGCTAATGAGGCTGAACTGATGGGTGAACTGGTAGGTGGCACTGATGGGCATTGACGGGCATCACTGATGGGCACTGAAAGGCAGCACTGATATATGGCACTGATAGGCGGCACTGACTGACACTGATAGGCGGCACTGACTGGCACTGTTAGGTGGCACTGACTGGCACTGTTAGTCGGCACTGATAGGCAGCACTGACGGGCACTGATAGGCGGCACTGGCTGGCACTGATAGGTGGCACTGACTGGCAGCACTGATAGGTGGCACTGATAGGTGACACTGAAAGGCAGCTCAGATGGGCACTGATATGTGGCATTGATGTGGCACTGATGGGCACTGAAATGTGGCACTGATGTGGCACTGGTGGGCACTGGCAGGTGGCATGGATGAGCACTGAGAGCAGGCACTGATGGACACTGACAGGCGGTGCTGCTGTGGCTACACAGATCATCAGGGCACACTGATCATCAGTGCTCTGATGATATGTGTACATGTCCCCTTTGAGGAATGCTGATTACCGGCTCTCCTCTCGAGCTGTCAGCATGACAGCTCGTGGGGAGAGAAATGCAGATAACTGGCATTTCCCTGTTTACATGTGATCAGCTGTGATTGGACACAGCTGATCACATGACCGAGCCGACATCTTCTGCTCTTTCCGTGGATCGGTGATCCGCTGTGTCCGAGGGACACAGCGCACCGCCGATCGGGGCGGGAGCCACGCATGTGCGGTTAGAATGGGAGGACGTCATATGATGTCCTCCCAGAATGAGAGAACCACCTTGTGTCTGTCATATTACTATATGGCGGGCAGGAAGCGGTTAAATACACTGCATTTTTTCTGTTATTTAAAACTCCTACTGATTTAAAACAACCTACTGATCACAGGAATGAGCTGTAAACTATAAATAAAAATTTTACTGGGAGTTCCCTGAGACTTGCAAGATTTTTCAAAGGTCCCTCCATGATAGAAAAGTTGAGAAAGGCTAGTGTAGGTACACATTTACTCTAATCCTTTCATGAAAAACTTTACAATCAAGAATACAGTTTCATTTGAAGATGCAGTGATTGTAGAAGCGTCTTACCCACACATTTGGTCTGATTGTTATTCTGCTTATACCCTTCATGACAGACACACATGTATCCTATAGGTAAGTTGACGCAAAAGCCTTCACCGCAGATATCAGGATCCACTACACACTCATTGACTTCTGCAAAATTAAACAATGGAAGGTTAAAGCTGTGTATGCATTTTAATTATTTTTTTTTTATATTGCTTTCTTTCATGGATTCAAGTGTAATGCACTGTACCACCTCTATTACATGCTTATGGAACTTTTCGACTAAACACATTAGTGTTAACAATCACCATTTAGCTTTTACATATTAGGATAGATTTACTAAAGGCAAATAGTCTATTCACTTTGAAAGGGAAACTGCTCGTAGAAAGGGAGTTTTCCCCAGAGCTTAGTGAATGAGGTGAAGCTCCGCTAACTTCAATCATCCAATCACGAGCAAGCAAAAGTGCTGTTCTTTTTTTTCTTGCAAATTTATTTGCAAAGTACAATTTCCTTTGCAAACTGAATAACCTATTTGCCTTTAGTAAAGCAGCCCCATTGTCTCAAGTGAGGTGACACATTGGGGTTGATTTATTAAAACTGGAGAGTGCAAAATCTGGTGCAGCTGTGCATGGTAGCCAATCATCCTTTAACTTCAGCTTGTTCAATTAAGCTTTGACAATAAAACCTAGAAGCTGATTGGCTTCTAAATTCTGCCAGCTCCAGTTTTAGTAAATCAACTCCATTGGAGGCAGAAATGGGACTGACCAATCAATTACCTATTTTCACCATGTTTTGTTCTGCTATGGGTGGCATTTACTTATATGAAATGCTTAGTTGTCACAAACAAGTGTGCTGCATTTATATAAAACAACCAAACAGAGCACATTTGGCAGTCTAACTAAGATGACTTAACAAAACATGAAAATTCAACACATGGATGATGAGCAACAGGGTGTTATAGGTTCCATAAGGATTTATTCACACTGCTCAGAACAAGTCAATGTCATCCAATATAGTCCTATTAAATGATATGTAGCTGTGGCACCCATTGGATCTGCCACAATCATTGCATAAGTTTGGATTTTGAAGCAACAGAAATAAAATAGAAATGTGTTTTCAATTAAACCCAATAACAAAAGGGTGTTGTACTTTCTTAAGTACATTAAAATGTATTTGGATGCTGGAACTGCTTCACTGGATTGCACAGAGGAGGAAAACAGTGCTTTTAATTTAGAAATCTAACTGTTAGTATGAGATATGCATAGTATTTTTTTCATTTAATTTGCCTCTATGAAAATTCAAAGAATTTAGATCAACAATTATCACTTACCTGTAACCTGAGTTGGAGCAATAACTTGACTAGCACTTGACTTTGAGACATCAGGGGCTATTTCTACAGGTAAAGGTGGGGATGACTTCTCAACAACAACTACAAGATACAATTTAAGGGAATCATACGTCTGTATTCAAAACGTCAAACCAAGGTAGATTTTCTTCTCAATAAAGAAAATTTTGCATTCATTTGTAGAATACTGGTCACATACAGCCACCATTTGAAAATGTACATTTTCTGATTGTCTCTTTTCAATTCTGTGTCACTAAGTCAAGGAAAGCATGTATCAGTTAGAAAGAACTCAATTCCTATCATGCAAACCTGTTCCATGCCAGTTTCTCAAAAAGCACTGAAGCCAAAGAATCAGCATGACAGCTAGGAAATGAACATTCTGAGAAAAAGGTCAGCGTTGGCAACCTCCATATTTCTCTCAGGATAGGTTTTCTTTACAGTTTCCAAAAGCAGAGGAAAATATTTTCCTGTCCAAATGGCAGGTGGTTTCCCCACTGCTCCTGTGTGAACCCAGGCTTGTCATATCCTGAGTTCACACAGGAGCAGTGCAGAAAACCTCCCTGTACTGATCCCATGCTGTCACAGAGGGAAAAGCCAGGGATTTGAAATCCCAGCAGCTTTCTCTTCTCTCAGTGCCGGGATAACAGTGAGGCTAGACAGCACCATGGCGGTGCTGACCAATCAGAACCCATCTAGCCAGTACAGTTATCCCTGCAAGGAGAGGAGAGAAAGTTGCTTCACAGGTTGGAGGATTTGAAATCCCCATGGCTTTTTATCCTCTGCTTGCAGAGAAGGTAGTACGGGCTAGACGGCGGCGGTGCTAACCAAACAAAAGCCATCTTAGCCCATACTGTCATCCCTGCACTGAGAAGAGAGAAAGCATGCAGGGATTTTAAATCCCCAGCTTTTCCTTTTATGACAGTATGGGATTGGTGCAGGAAAGTTTTCCGTATTGCTCCTGTGTGAACTCAGACTATTACAAGCCTGGGTTTACACAGGAACAGCGGGAAAATTGCATGCGATTTGGACAGGAATTGCATTCCTGTTCAAATTGCATTCTATGTTTTGTGGTAAAATTTGCATCTATACATTTTGTATTGACACAAATCACACCGCAAAGTATTGGTTTCAGGTATCAGAAACATTTTCGCAAGCACCAGCACTCGTGAAAATACTTGGTATCAGCACCGATACAGATACCGGTATCGATACATCCCTATTAAGAACTGACACTTTCTGTGAAGAAACTATATATCCCACAATCCCCAAGTCTTCCAGTCCAGCACTGGTGTAGGTGCAGTAATTAGATGTGACACAGCCAGAAACAGGCAGAGAATTCACAGAGAGATCACTGTGCTGGAAGAGATATGTTTTCATCACATTAGAACTCTCAGATTTGTAATGTAACATAGAGGAAATGGCAAGGAGTGGATTGAACATTGCATGACCCGGAAAAATAAATTGCTTGTCCTTTCAGCGAAGCCCATCATTACAAGGTAAGGCAAACAAATGATACATGGAATGCACCTACAAGTACAGAATGCATGTAATGCACAATACAATGTAATGTACAATACAAGAAGAACAGCGGGTCACTTGCCTAGGAGTGTGTCTTGGTTAAATTGTTACTTATATTCACTATATCTGGTCTCCCACAGTACACATAACATGGAAGTGCAATTCTTTTAGTAAATATAAACTGCTTAATACCTTTTCTCATCAGCAGTTAAAACAGTGTTGTGACTTCTATCAGTGTCCAGCTGAGCACATAAGCTTGTTGGTGGAGTTTTCACTATGCTCTAAGAGGATGCAGGACCCCTGACTTCTGTCTGGACAGTGCTGACTGGCCCTGTGCTGATCACATGCACTCTCTCAAGAAAAAAAATGTAATACACTCTAAACTGAGCATTTGCAGAGTGGCTCCATGCTATATGTCTTATCAGGTGATAAGAGGGGGGCACTGGAAGAAGGGGAGGATCAGAGAAGTCAGGATCAAACAGCGTTTTTACACAATGCAGAGGATTAATCCCTTAGGTTCCACAGGGAGTATAACAAACACACTTTACTGCATATACAGACTGATTTTATTGTTGTGGGTTTAGTAACACTAACTGTTGCATGAAGCAACCATTTTTGATGCCCCTGTGCACTTGCCTGATGAATAAAAAAATGAATGAGCAACATCTCTTTGTTGATTCAGTGTCCAGTAAGTAGGCAGGTGACACAAACATCGGTGATGTTCACATATAGCTATTCAGTGTGGCAAAGATCTGAGAATCTCAGAAGGGGATGAACAGAATTTATTCCAGGCAAAGTACAGTAGTTCTCATACATGTATTTTGAATGTGAATTTATCTGTTGGCTTGCTTTATTAATTTCTGCATGAAACCAATCCTCTTTCTGTGGGGGAGATTTACTAACACTGGTGCACACAGAATTTGGTGCAGCTGTGCATGGTAGCCAAACATCTAACTTCAATTTGTTCAATTAAAATGGAACTCCAGTCAAACAAACAAAAAAAAAAAGTCAGCAGCTACAAGAAGTGTAGCTACCAACTTTCAAAAACAGCCACTCACCTGTTCCACAATCCAGCGGTGTACTCACAGCAGCCAGTTTCACCGGTCGCCCTTGCTCCCTTGCGCTGGTATCTTCAGTGTGGACGCCCAGCTGTCCCGTAGGGGAGGGTGGGGGCGAAGACAACTTCCGCTTCCGATTGCCTAGGCAGCGGGTACCTGTCAAATTCGCCAATTCCTCACCAGAAGCTGGGGACCTGTGTGTTTGTCACATAAAATCCCAGAAAAGACAAACCCCTGTTCTACTCTCATTCTCTAACAGTCCTAAAGCACAGACATTAAAGCAGACAAAGCACTTCATGCACATGTTTTTGTAATTATGTTTTACCTGGATACTGAGAACCTAAGTTTATTGTTGAAATTCCAGGTGACAGCTGAGGTTGCCCCTGATCCACTGGTCGCTTATTAACTCCAGTTCCAAGGTACTTAAAAAGGACAAATAAATATAATAAGTACAGCACAAAATAATATTGTGAAGTCTTGTTGAATACTCTACTAGTATTCTACTAGATCTACTCCATGTTTTAAATAATAACTGACTTTAGAGAGTCCATTATCTGGCATAGTTGCGTCACGAACACCAATACAAACAGATAGGGCCCATTTACACTAACATGTTATAGTAATGTGCTTATTAAAACAAAAGACAGTTATGCATCCAGCATACATTACTACGTTACTGGTTAATTCACTTTAACACACTAAGGCAACTCAACTGGATGCAGTGCACCACAATGCACAGTAGTTTGTTGTGGTGGATTGCATTACAAAAGAAGTGTCACATCCACTTTTTGGCACTTTAGGGTTTTACTTCATTACTTTCACTGGCATGCCTTAAAGACTAAAGTCTTTTTTTTTAAAATAACAAACATGTCATACTTACCTGCTCTGTGTAGTGGTATTGCACAGAACAGTCTGGTCCCCCGTCGACACTCCTGGCCCCTCCATCCTGTTGGGTGCCCTCACAGCAAGCAATCTGACACTGACACTTTGTGGGAACTGACCGACACTGACATCAGAGAGAAAAAAAAACAGCCACATTGGTGCACTTGTAGAGAGCCCTGTGTTGTTTACCAACACAGGGCTCTGTTCTGTCATTCACTCAGCCGATCAGCAGGTCCTGGCCATAAATCTTTGGTCGGGACCTGATGATCGGCTTATGCTGTTGCAAATGACAACACAGCCAGGGCGGCAGGTGCATGCCCCTACCTGGAAATGCTGGATTACGTACATGTATGTGACCCAGCGCAGCTGGGCTGTTCCATTGCCACAGATCTACAGCGAATGGTCCGGAAGCGGTTAATGTAATGCATTAACATATCATGAAACCAAAAAAAAAAAAATATTGAACGCTACTGGCAATTAAGAAGGGAACTTGACAATACTTCACCTCCGCAACATCTCCAAAATACGACCGTTCCTAACCTCGGAAACCACTAAGCTACTCATTCACTCCCTTATTATATCACGCCTTGACTACTGTAACTCCCTCCTCATCGGCTTACCTCACCGCAGGCTATCCCCGCATCAGTCTATCTTGAATGCTGCGGCCAGACTCATCCACCTTACTAACCACTCCGTATCCGCCACCCCCCTCTGCCAATCCCTCCACTGGCTTCCGATTGTCCAACGGATAAAATTCAAAACACTGACGTATAAAGCTGTTCATAATACTGCCCCAAACTACATCACCGATCTTGTCTCCAAATACCACCCAAAACATACTCTCCGCTCCTCACAAGACCCCCTACTCTCTAGCTCCCTGGTCTCTTCCTCCCATGCTCGTCTCCAGGACTTCTCCAGGGCTTCCCCCATCCTCTGGAACTTCCTACCCCAATCCATCAGACTATCACCTACTCTGCTCACCTTTAGGCGCACTCTGAAAACCTATCTCTTTAGGGAAGTCTACCCAGCCCTCAGCTAATTACTGAACTCCTCCACTTTTCCTCCCACTCCATTCCCCACAGCTATTTCCTCCTGTACTACTATTCCCTCCCTCCTAGATTGTAAGCTCCAAGGAGCAGGGCCCTCGAACCCCTCGTGTATTGAATCGTATTGTTACTGTACTGTCTCGTGTACTGTCTCCCCCCATAATGTAAAGCGCTGAGCAAACTGTCGGCGCTATATAAATCCTGTATAATAATAATAATACTTCATAAAATATACTGTTTATTTACATCCATATTAAACAGCTAATCACTCAAGCTGAGATATATATTAAAAACAATATGCACATAATTTCATGATCAATACAGTTGCTGATTCATTATCCCCACTATTGGTATAATACCATTACATTATTTGTCATAAATAATTGTGTGGTGAGATCGTGATTGTGAGATTGTGATTCCTCCTTTTTTTAGTTACATTATTATGGATGTAGCAATTAAGTGGTACAGTTTAGAATGCATTAACATACCACTCCTCTATTTATAAAGGACAAATGTACATGCACTTTCATTGGTCGAATGGCTATCGAAACTCTTTATAAATCAGCCTCCTAACCTGTAGATACTGATTATGGAAATAAATTATACAGATTTCTTAGAACATTACCTGATCTGTTGTAGCCAAACCTGTGAGAAGGATAAAATAAAGTAAAGTTAGTAAACACACTTGCTGAATTAAAATACCAAAACACAATACCTAAATATTAACCAGATGGCCAAAATGTTTCCCCTTGGTCTTCAGCTGTAGGGCCTTGGACTGTTCACCATTGGCTACTACTACTACTAGAAGAGACTGTCCTCTAACTACTAGCTATTACTGAGTGTTTTGAACTACCCTATGTACAACCCCTCTCCTGTTAAAAGTTTCTTCAAGCAATAAACCTTAAAAAGACATCCTCCTAGACTGTTCAGTAGAACCAGTGTGAATGGACTGTTGCTTGTGTGGAGAGGGCAGTCTCTATACGTAATGGGGAAGAACTGGTTAAAATCAGTGGCCCCTGCAGGTGTAGCACTACAAAAATATCTACTCAGAAGATTACATATTTTCAGTAAAATTGAGTAAATAAACAATTGTACATTTCCTCACTTACCTTCTCTTCCATTGTGATCTGGAGCATTTTTCTGTGAAACAGACAAAGCTTCTACTGGTTCTTCTTTTGTAATGACCGCTTGAAGTGTTGTTCTGATCGGAGGTTGTACAGTATATGGTCTAACAGGTGCTGGTCCTCGAAGCACAGGGACTGTGTAACCCATTCCACCTGGACAGATTTCCTTGAAAGCAGCTTTAATAAAGAGAGAAAAGCATACAGTATGTAATCGCTATGGTGTACCAAGGATTTTGATGAGGCACTAAGAATGCCTCTTAATAATCACATGTGTAATGTACTGTTCTGAACACTAGAAGACCCTACAATAATACGTATATTGCCATTGTTTGGGGTTTGACTGGGAGCCCTCTGAGTTCATGTTAGATGTTAAGAATATATATATATGAGTCATGTCTACTGCATCCTTACTGTCTTCAAGCACAAATTTACCATAAGGAAGGGATTGAAAACGTGATGTAATGCATAGGAATCTCATGCTGTGAATTTCCAGAACACTGGTATCTGTGAAAAGCCACATGGCCAGCCTGCCCAAGGGAATGCCTAACTACTGTATTTCTTTAAATCTGGACTAAAAACTGTTTTTACAAACTTTTCTGTAGTATGGAATCACCACAAGCTCATGTTGGCATGTACAAGGCTCCTCCCTGATGTCCATGAATTGCTTGACATAGAAACCAATGGTCTCTGAACCTGGAGAACCCCTTTCACCATCTCTACCCCATTCAGCATAGCAAAGCTTCTGAATTTGTTGTGGCCAACATTCCTAACTTAGCACAAGCTGTAAAGAAATGTGATTGGCTGATATGTGGAGTATTTTGATAGCAGGCAATTGCCATCAACTAGAACACCCATTCTAGTTGTTTTTTACATATGCCAATGGGTTTTATCAACATTTCCCCTATGACAAAAACCGGAATGTAAACTAAAAAGGCCAGCTAAATTGTATCAGTAAATCTTCACTAAGCAAGCTGTATACAATAAGTAAAATACATTTCCCATACTGGCAACAACCATTTTACAACAAGCCCACGTAAGGAGGATGTATATTTGTTCAGATGGTCCATCAAGCATATGCTATGAAAATATAAATATCACATAATGTCATGCGGGATTGTTCTATTTTACCAGACACAGGAAAAATCATTTTCATTTCAAAAGAAATTCATTATATAGTTGCAGTAAACATAACCCAAACTTTGATAGTACATACATGCCAACACTAGTTCTAAACATCTCACTTCATTTAAAAAAGTAAACAGTACAGAGAACTTTTAACTGCTGAAAAGTGCACACAAACATAGCATATCTAAAGAATACCATTAACACAACATAATCTATCAATGCTCAGCTAGTAGGGCTAACACCAAAACACAGCAGACCATATGGCCTTAAAATCTTAATTACAGTCACATTTGAGAGGAAATAAGTTGAGCCTAAAGCTGAAATAAAACTAAAGCTAATCAAATGACATAGTTTAAGAAAAAAATAAGAAAGTACAGAAAACAAACTATTACCCCATGTAACTGTGATATCCTTGGACAGTTATCAATCATAATGGAAAAACTGGTCAAAGAATGACTGCATCCACCAGTGTATATAGTCATACTGGGGGTTATTTACTAAAACTGGGAGAGTGCAAAATCTGGTACAGCTCTGCACAGAAACCTATCAGCTTCCAGTTTTTATTGGCAAAGCCTAATTGAACAAGTTGAAGTTAGAAGCTGATTGGCTGCCATGCATGGATGTACCAGATTCTGAGTGCACCAGTTTTAACAAACCTCCGATACAGTGGCGGACTGACTACTCATGGGGCCCCCGGGAAAATGGGGATCATGGGGCCCTGTGTTCTTGCCCAAACTCAAAAAAGCCTATGAAAAAGGTACCAGGGGCATCTCATGGGGCCCCCTACTGACCACGGGCCCTCGGGCAGTGCCCGAGTTTCCAAATGGTCAGTCCGCCCCTGCTCTGATAGCTCCGTTAACTGATTTTTATGTTTTTTTGGGGGGTTTTTTTGCAACCAATTTGTTTATTATGGGCAACAGCAGACACCTTTTATAACAATTGGATTCCTGTATTATACAGTAGTTCTGGGATGCAGAAGCTAGTCACTCCAATCTAGAAGCCAGGAATAACTTTGAAGGAACAAGAGAATGAGTATTTCCATTGACGTCAATAGAGCAGTTAGGAGTATTGGCTCCTTGGATTTGTCCAGATCTGCAGTACAGATGCTATATTCCAATAATCACTACTTTAAATAACACTTTAGGAACAACTGTGTTTTAGGAACAACTGTAGTGTACAGTCTGTAGGATTATTAACAAAGGCGTTATATTATACACTTAAAACTTATACACTTAAATACACTTAAAACTGAACTCTAGGCAAAAATCAAAATACACAGGTGAAATACATTTGTAGGAACTGTTTTACCGGCCAGATGATTTGCATTTCTATGCATCCATTTTTGAGGATTCCACAGTTCTATCAAACAGTACAGCCCTGTCTGGCAGTGCAGAAGACCTAGTTTTTCTAGAAAAAGGAATATGTGCAGGTCTCGTCCCACCTCCAGCCTGTGACAGTGAAAGTATAAGCAGCACACTGATGAGTGCTGCAGCACAACTGATGGGCTTCTTGTGCTGCGTCTTCCTCTCCCAGTCTGAGCACTGTTGTAGATTGGGTTGCAAGAAGCCGATATCAAGTCAAACGTTAGGTACTTGCACTGCTTACATTTAAAAAATACATTTTAACAAGCTACATAGGTGGTAAGGTTAAAGTGGTTTTTAACCACTCGCCCTCCAGAGGATTTACCCCCCTTCCTGACAAGGCCATTTTTTGCAATAAGGCGCTGCATTAATTTAACTGACAATTGCGCGGTCATGCAACATTGTACGTAAATGAAATTTATGTACTTTTTTTTCCCACAAATAGAGCTTTTGTATGGTGGTATTTGATCACCTGTACGGGGGTTTTTGTTTGCGTTACAAACAAAAAAAAGACCAACAATTTTGAAATAAAAAACCCTTCAATATTTTGACTTTTTGCTATAAATCATATCCAGTAAAAAATTTTTTAAAAATAAAATATCTTCATAAATTTAGCCCAAAATGTATTCTGCTACATGTCTTTGCTAAAAAAATAATCCCAATATGTGTAAATTAATTGCTTTACGTGAAAGTTATAGCGTTTACAAATGGCGGTATATAAACTGGAATTTTTATTTTATTTATTTTTTTACTAGTAATGGTGGCGATCAGCGACTTATTGTGGGACTGCGGCAGGCATTCTGACACTGGGGGGGAACTGACTTACTGGCACTGACTTTCCCAGTGACACTAATACAGTGATTAGCAATAGTAAAAAGCACTGACACTGTACTAATGACACTGGGCAGGAAGGGGTTAACATCTGGGGTGATCAAAGGGTTAACAGTGTGCTGTGTGTGTTTTACTAGGAAGACAAGCTGCTTTGCATTGCTCTGCTGTGCAGTACTTCTGCTATAGGGCGGTCGTGAAGCAGTTAAAGGCATTCTGTGCATGAAGGTAAAAAAACCTTCTGTGCGCAGCAGTGCCCAAGCCTCCTCAATACCTACCTGAGCCCCATCGCGATCCAGCAATGTGTACGACAGCCTCGGCTGTCCCGGGTCTCTGCCTCCTCATTGGCTGAGACAGCAAGTGGAAGCCATTGGCTCACACTGCTGTCAATCACAGCTAGTCAGCCAATGAGGAGAGAGAAGGGGAACAAGCAGCGGCTCCATGTGTGAATGGACACACGGAGCAGCAGCTCAGGAACACGCCTACTCAAGTGCCCCCATAGCAAGTTGCTTGCTATGGGGGCACCAAACAGAAAGGAGGAGCCAAGAGAACTGGCAGGGGACCCGAGAAGAGGAGGATGCAGGTTCCTCTGTGGAAAACCACTACAAATAGCAGGTAAGTATAATTTGTTTGTTATTTTACCACAAAACAATTAACCTTTAGTAACACTTTAAATGTAAAGACACTGGTCCATCCAGTTCAATCTGAGTGCATGTGTGTGTGTGAGAGAGACTACTATTTTTCATATCCGTGTACATTGTGATGCAAACACATCCAACACTTTTTGAACCTATCTACATTATTGAATACAGAGCTGTGTTTAAATTATGTATTTTACAATTGCATGTAGTTCAGCTTTAACATAAAGTTCTAAAATGGGTAAAACGTATCTTGTGGAAATGTAACTGCATCCCTGTGTGTATAGCCTGATGTTTCCAATTGACTCATTAACATAACACTTAAAACGCTTGTCAGTCACTAACCGACTTTGACCTTCCGATCAATTCAGAAAACTAACTGTGACCAAAAACAACAAGCTACTCAACACTGATTTTCCAATACAACTAAATAGGAAGAGCAAATATGATGTATTTCTATGCACTGTAGAAGCATGAGGTAAAAAAGCTTAATTACAGTAAAATATAGTACGCATGGTTTTTATATCATAGATAATCAATGTTATTTCAATGAAGTGTTCTACGTAATAGAAATACAAAGTGTTGCTTAAAGTGACACTGACGTTTTCTTTTCTTTAAAATAAAAAATGGTAAACTTACAGTTGCACAGAGTAAAATGACATTGCACAGAGTAGTCCCTTACCACCTCACATGGAATCCCCCGCCAATGCTGTAAGCTCCTCCTTCTTGTGGGAGCCCCCTCAAGCAAACCATTTGCTAAGGGGGCACCCATGTGGGCTTCTGATCGGTGCTGTATGCATCGACAGGCACACTCAGAGCCGCTAAAGCCACTTTGTGGTGGTGGTGGGGGGGGGAGTAGTGTGGCTTTTTTTTACATTAATGCATTGAATGTTTCACTCTAGTGTCACTAGTATCTAACTGCCTTTTTAAGTGGATCTTGGTAGGTAGAACCACCCCAGGCTTCTTGTGGGTCTTACATAATTCTAACCCATAATACATAATAATACCTACACACTGTTGTATGTTCCAGCACCTCCTTCTCCATTCTCCATAATATAAAATAAATAACAAAACTAAGTTGGAAGCCAATCCCCATGAAATTGTCAGGTGGGAGAAATCTCCAGAATCAGAAACTGATAGATCAGATGTGGGTGAGCTGACCCTAAATAAACTGACTGTTTACTTTGTTCCTGAGCTAATGTGCAGTTCCGTAGCTAATAACCCA